TTTAGCATTCGGATTCTTTTAATATCCTTGCCCCGGTGCTGGGGCAAGGATAGTTAAAAATTTTTGTTTACTTTTTCATTCGTATCTCGTATAGGGATTTGAGTGTACAGTAAAATAATGTACAGCAAAATTATAGCCAAATAACCAGGCTTTCCAAAAATACTTTTTGTTTGCAGATACATATGGGGCATTCCAGGCCAAATCGGAAATCATTTTGCTTTTGCACCTCAAATTTTTTTTTAGCTCTTTGAAATGAGCTACCATGATTTTTTTCAAATTTTTTCATAAAGCGGTTCAGAAGATACAGATTTTTGAAAAATTACGTTTTTTCCGTAATTTTTTTTTTAAATTCTTATAACTCGGTCAAAAATTGATCAAATTGGACGTTTTTATAATAAAAAGTTTTTTTTTCACGCGTAGTTTTTAATAAAAATATTTTTAAAATTTTTTAAAATAATTTACGATAAGATTTAAAATTTTTTTAAATAAAATTTCATTTTTAACAATGTATGTATCGATCAATTTTTTTCAAAATTTTTCGTAAGAAACTAGCGCTAAATTAACAATTTTTAAGCCTTGTCCGATCGTGGGCAAACGATGGGATCTATTTATTTTGAAATTTTTAATTTTTATATACACAATGAAAACGGTACGCCTAACTTGCCATTTGACCAAATCACAATTTTACACAGAAAGAAGGTTAAGTTTAGAAAGACTCAGTCTAAAAACACATTTTCTGTGAAAAATTTGTTTGATTTTAAAAATTAAAAATTTCAAAATAAATAGATCCCATCGTTTGCCCACGATCGGACAAGGCTTAAAAATTGTTAATTTAGTGCTAGTTTCTTACAAAAAATTTTTTAAAAAATTGATCGATACATAACATTGTTAAAAATGAAATTTTATTTTTAAAATTTTTAAATCTTATCGTAAATTATTTTAAAATATTTTTATTAAAAACTACGCGTGAAAAAAAACTTTTCATTATAAAAACGTCCAATTTGATCAATTTTTGACCGAGTTATAAGAATTTAAAGAAAAAATTTACGTAAAAAACGTCATTTTCAAAAAATCTGTATCTCCTGAACCGCTTTATGAAAAAATTTTAAAAAAATCAAGGTAGCTCATTTCAAACAGTACTAAAAGAAACAAGTTGTAAATCCAGATGTTCATTACATGAACATTTTGCTTCCTCTTTACGAAAATTTATACTTTGTTTATACCAATCGATTCGTCTTGATGCAAAGAATAAAGTAACTTCAATAAGCAACTTAAAAAAATTTGTTTAAAAAAAAATTTTTTTTAGAAAAAAGTCAAAAAAAAAATTTTTTCTGAGAATTTTTTAAAGTCTATCAATCCATTTCGAGATATTTTTATGATAAATATACCTGGTAAATTTTAGCCAAATTCGTTAAAACCTCTTCGAGTTATCGTGTTCACAAAAATCGGGATCCACACACACACATACATACATCCGGACAATTGTTCAGGGTCTTATATAACATAGTCCTATATAGAAGAAAATTTGGTAAAAGGATTTTTAAAAATTTTGTAAATTAGACGACTACAAAGCTTCCTCACGAGGAAGCAAAAAATGTTTAAAAAAAATTTGAGATGCAAAAGCAAAATGATTTCCGATTTGGCCTGGAATGCCCCATATTCAAGTTTGGCCGTTAGATCCAAAAAGGTCTTACCTAACTATTCTTGCCCCATCCTCCCCTACTCTCTAAATTTGAATTAGTGAGAATGTTTACTAATTTAAATTATATTACAAAAGTAATATTATAAAAATATCACTGAGAAAAATGTTTTTTAATCTAAAAATATGTAGCCAACTCAAAAAATATGTTTAAATCAAACAAAAAATTATTATTTTTAATTAAAAAATAATTTTTGGTTGACTGTATGACAAAGATAATTGTGTTTGATTCAAATATATATTGTTTTCTCAGAGATTAAATAACAAAAAGTACCTAAATTCATACGAAAGGACAAGTCTCGTATATGTTGAATATACATAAATAAATAAATAAAAATATTATTATTACTATTGGCATTGTTTCGTATTGTTTAATATTTTTATTTTCTTGACTTCCTCGCTCACGAAGTTATTGTGTCTCATTTTTGAAGATGAAATTTTTTTGTCAGAGACCTTTTCAGCAAACTTTCCCGCTGTCATGGAATGAAAACAATTTGATTAAGAGTAGCATATGACAGAGAGGCTTTCAAAGCGTCAGGTATTTCAAGTACTATTATAAATGGATAATGACACTTTTTTCTGCTTCTGATGAGACAACTTTTTTTAAATCGCGAAACAAGTTGAATAGATAAAATTTTTCTATATACAACTTGAGAGATTTCTCATATAATCTCTCATAGATCTCCTCTCTTTAATATATACATAAATGACATCAACCATAACATCGCTTCGAAAATTCTTATTTTTGCTGATAATGTAAAAATTTATAAACTCATACAAAATTACGATGATGTATCCCTTCTCCAGTCTGACTTAAATTTAATTTTTGATTGGTCTGTAAAAAATAAACTTCCCTTGAATATTTCTAAATGCCATTCTTTATCTTTTACTAGAACAAAGACGCCTATAAAATGTGATTATTTAATAAACAACATCGCTTTAGAAAGAGTAACAAGTACATGTGTGGAGTGACTTTCGATAATAGATTATGTTTCAATGATCAAATATCTCAAGTAGTGTCTTCCGCATCTAAAGTCCCAAGGCCCTAGGGCCTTGGGATGTTTATTAACGTCAACTAAGTATTTTAGAAATTCGTCAACAATAGTTGCATTATATAAATCTCTGGTTCTTTCTAAAATAAATTATATCCCATTTATATGGATTCCTTATTACAACAAATATAATGATAAACTGGAGAAAATCCAAAAATCTTTTCTAAAGTACTTGGCGTTTAAAACTAATAGAATTTATCCACGACAAGGCTGTGATTATCTCGATTTGTGTAACAGGTTTCATTTTCGTACAATAACCCAACACAGAATCCTGTTCGCGACTTAAGGGGATCCCACTTATCGACATTGCAGATCTAAAATGATTAAAAATCTGCAACGACCGTTTCTTGGAAAATATAAGATATTATTACCTATAAATTTGGAAAACTCATTTTTTATCATGAATACACAGGATGAGTATTTTATTTGTTGTAATTATTTGAAAAAAATTATTGTTAGAAAGTTAAATATGGGCAGTTTCCCTGTAACACATCTTTGACTACTAGCTCAATCTGCAACGACCATTTCTCGAAAACAACGAAACAAAATAATTTTTCCATTTGGGAAATTTAATTTTGTAGGAAAATACGGAGGATGAGACTCATTTGCCATTCAGGAATGGTTCTATGAACTACTAAAAGCTGTCACATGTGTTCTTCTTGTTGTAAATTGCTATACAAAACAGTTTACATAAATTAAAGTTTTTTATTGTTGTTTTCATATGTAATTAATCTTATTATGTGTATTTTTTATTAAAATTAAGTTTGCTAAATGGAAAAATTATTTTGTTTTGTTGTTTTCAAGAAAAGGTCGTTGCAGTTTGGGCTCTTGGAAACTGACCATATTTAATTTTCTAACAATATATTTTTTTTAATAATTACAACAAATAAAATACTCATCCTATGTATTTATAATAAAAAATGACTTTCACAAATTTATAGGTCATAATTCCTTATATTTTTCAAGAAACGGTCGTTGCAGATTTTTAACCATTTTTTATCTGCATTGTCGGTATGTGGGAAAATCCTGAATTCCCAAATAAACGCTCCACAACTTCTCGCCCAGATACCTTTTAGAGTTCCTCATCCTGCTTCTAGAAATCTACAACCCTTTTACCTTGATCGGACCTCAAATGCAGTCGCAGAAGTCGCACCCTTGTATTTTTCGTGCAACCACATAAACTTGATGTTCACACAAATCAAGCCCGACCTTGATTTGTTTTTCTCATCTAGAAAAACTTTCCAATCTGCTCTTGATATTTATATTGACAACTGTTGTTGACAATGTCGTTCTCAATTTCTACTATCAATTTAATTTTTTGTTTTTTAGACTTAAGTATTGTTAAATAATTAATTTTATTTTTTTTTCGTAACCCATGTATGGTCCATCTTGGACTGCGGGAAAGATTATGTAAATAAATAAATAAATATAATTCATTGAAATGTATTTGAGGACGACTGGATTTTTTAAATAATTTTTTTCCTTTTTCTGTCTATCATTTATAAGCATTTGTGGATACTTTCTCTTATTCCTAATATGTTTCGAGCAAAAAACTTGAGAATTTACTATTATTACGAAAGACAGTTGCAATGTGTGAACTCAATAATTCAATGAAAGAAACTTTTAACCCACATTTTAAACTCGATTGATAAGTTTATATAGAAAGGTATCGGGAATAATTTATTTCACAAGAATTTGTAATTCGATATTTATTTAATGTTAACTCTACAAAGTATACACTTAAACTGAGACACAGCAGAATACGCAGTAGCTATATAACAAAAGATATAAACATTGAACGATGGGTAATCCCATCTACCTTCCCTCTCATTATACACGCAGGTATAAGTTTTAATTATTATTTCGTAGCACACTTTTGGATCTTTACAAATAATATTATTTAACCTTTATTAAGATAATAAACGAAGTGAGGAAAACTAACAGTTTATATAGTCGATTCAATTTATATTCAATTTCATTTTAATAATATTATTATGCATATATTTTTCCTTTTTTGGAATTTAATAAAATTGAAAAAAACGTTTGATAATTTTATTTTTTTACATTTTTAATATTTTCTTTTTTTTTAATTGAAAAATTATTTTCCTAAAATTTATTTTGCTTTATTTATTCGTTCGAAATTTGGAAGTCAGAAAACCAAAATATTTTTTATATCATAATTTTTATTATTAATTTATTAAAATTATTATTTAATTATATTCTTTAAACTAATTTCTGTATTTTTTCAGGTAAAAGAAGAAATGGCAATTTTGGCAAAAGATCATGGAGTGAATAGTTTCAAATTTTTCATGGCTTACAAAGATTTGTACATGTTGAGAGATAAGGAATTAATGGAGGCATTCGCTTATTGCAAAAGTTTGGGCGCAGTTGCAATGGTCCACGCAGAAAATGGAGACATTATTGCTGAGGTGAAATTACAGAAAACAATTTTTTTTAATCAGGAGCGTAAATTTTATTTATTAATTCCTTTTTGCTTCCTCGTGAGGAAGCTTCGTAGTCGTTTAATTTACAAAATTTTTAAAAATCCTTTTAACAAATTTTCTTCTATATGGGACTATGTTATATAAGACCCTGAACAATTGTCCGGATGTATGTATGTGTGTGTGTGTGGATCCCGATTTTTGTGAACACGATAACTCGAAGAGGTTTTAACGAATGTGGCTAAAATTTACCAGGTATATTTATTATAAAAATATCTCGAAATGGATTGATAGACTTTAAAAAATTCTCAGAAAAAATTTTTTTTTTACTTTTTTCTAAAAATTTTTTTTGTTCAAAAAATTTTTTTAAGTTGCTTATTGAAGTTAATATATAATAAAATCTTATTCTTTGCATCAAGACGAATCGATTGGTATATAAAAAGTATAAATTGTATGAGAATTTACAGAGTTAATCATAATTAAAGCTGAAAATTTCGCATTTTTATCAAAAAATGAGTTCTTTTCGCAAAATTATGTTGCCGTATAAGAAAATCTTACTCATTTATTTCTAAAATCTTATTCTTTTCACCAAGACGGATCGATTGGTATATATAAAGTATATATTGTATTTAAATTTATAGAATTAAAACCAATTATAGACAAAAAATTTGCACTTTTTAAAAAAATTCTTTTTTCTTAAAAATCATGTTGCTGTACAATAAAACATTATTTATTGAAAAATAAATCAAAAATCTTATTCTTTGCATCATGACGAATCAATTGATTAAAATAAAGTATGTATATATATATATATATTGAAAATTATAGAATTAATTACAATCAAATTTGAAAAATTCACTTTTTTACTAAAAGTTTTTTTGTTTATTTAGATTCATATTACTGTATAAGAAAATTTTATTCTTTCTATAAAGACGAATGCAATTTATTTTATAAATGTTAAATTGTATTAAAAATGATTTAAAAATGAAATATATTTATCGTTAATTCTTCCTCCACGAGGAAGCAAATTTTTTTTGCTGATCGTAAAGAGGAAGCAAAATGTTCATGTAATGAACATCTGGATTTACAACTTGTTTACTTTATTATTAAGTATTTTATTATATTATTTATGTATATTTTTTACTTTTCATTATTTAGGTACTGTTTCATTCATTTTCTTTATTTATACTTTTTACAAGCCTCGAATTCTATTTATTACATTATTGTCTTTTTAGGACTATTTCGAAATTATTTTTTTAATAATATTAGGGTCAATTGGGGTAAATGTAAACGGAATATCTATGTTTCACCAAAAACATTAGTTTTTTTTTGTTAAAAGGTAAAACGGACGGATTTCTTTTGCATGAACTTGTTGCTAGTGTTCCCTAGAAAAATTTTATGAGGTACAAAGAAATATTGATGCACCTGAATCGCCTAAAACTGACTGTTTACATTTACCCCGAGATTTAAAAATTTTCCTAAAATTCGGGGTAAATGTAAACACCACTGTAGTTAAGTGAGGTTTAAGAAACAAGTTATTTCAAGTATACTACTGTTTTAAGGGATGGAAAAACTGAAAAAAAATTCTTCGTAGATGTATAGTAAATCAACCAGTTGACTGATAATGTATCATATAAATAAACAATCAACCATTACAAAATTAGTAATGTAAAATCTTGAATAACTTGAACAAATTTTAATAGATTTTCATTCAACTTGGTAAAAAGAAGTTTTTAAGGTTGCTGAATAAAAATCTAAAATCGAATTTTTAAATTTCAAAATGGTGGATCCAATATGGCAGATGAACCTAAAAATAATATTTTTAAACAAGTTGTTCATTTCATGACCATTAAGCTTCCTCAATATATATTATTATATATAATTTTAAAAGTTAAATAATTATAATAGTTTATTAAATATAATTAATAAATCTTCTTTTTAATAAATCAAAAAAAAAAATTAATGTTTTAAAGTATTAAGATAAAATTTCAAAAAATACAAAATTTCAATTTTTTTATGAAAATCTAAAATATTTATTAATTCTATAAATATTGATAAAATATATACTTTATATACATGAATCGATTCGTTTTTATGTCAGGAATGCAATTTTGACAAGAATTAATGAAAATTTTAATATAGAAAATAGTTATTTTAAAAAATCCAAAAATTAATTTTTTCAAAAATTAAAAAATTGTTGAAAAAAATTTTTTTTTAGATATTTTTGAAAATCCTTCTGTCTGATTTTTGGTATTCGTGACCGTAATACACCTACAAAATTTTATCAAAATCCGTCAAGACGTGTAAGAGAAAATTTGTCCACAAGAATCGGTGACATACACACACACACACACATACATACACACATACATCCGGACATTTGTTCCTCTCGACGAATTATATATACTACACTTGAAAATTTGTAAAAATAATTGATTCTAAAAAATTCGGAAATCGACATCACTATAAGGCTTCCTTTATGAGGAAGCAAAATTGATCAAATTTGCTTGAATCTGGCTACTAGGGGGTTTTTGAGGTCGCTGAATACGAATTTGAAGTAAAATTTTAAATTTTCAAAATGGCGGACGAACCTAAAAATATTTTTAAAAATTGATCAAATTTTCAAAAAAAAAAAATTTTTTTTTTATCAAATTTTTTTTTTCCAAGAGGACCTAAATTCCTTTTCTATGTAATATTTACATTGCAAAATTAATGAAATTGTGAAATAGAAGCAAATTTATTCAATTATTTTCTTTTAAAATATAGTTCAAGTTCTGTTTACATTTACCCCGAGTTTTCGAATTCTGGGGGTAAATGTAAACACTTAATTATTTACTAAGTAAGTTGCCGAAAATCAAAAATCAAAGTCAATTTTTGTTAGGGCATTAATAAGGAAGAATTACATATTTTTGTTTGATTTTTAAATTTATTTTTATGCAAATGCGAGACAAAATACTGAAACACTAAAATTTTGACTTTCAATCTTTTTTGCATTAAAAAATAACTTACACTATGCCATTGCCAATTGTCAAAATAAAATATTAGCAATACTCAGAACATCTTGTAGGTGAGCTGAGGTAAAAATATTGACGTCGTACTTATTTTTAAATTTGTAAATATAGCTGAAACATCTACTGTTTACATTTACCCCTTGTTTACATTTACCCCAAATGACCCTATAAGATAATTTAATTTTTGAACTTTAGAATCAATTTATAATTATTTGTTTTTAAATTAGGGGAGACTGGGGCGAAAGGTTAAACTGTGAAAACAGTTAAAATTTATTATCTTTCGAACGGAAATAGTTAGAGCATTGCAATTTTAATCATAGAAGGGTGTTATCACTCTAAATAAATGTCCGGAGTTATGTGACATTCTCTTCAATTTGTGGTGTCCATATTTAAAGTTTGTTTTCACCCTACTTTTGAAAATTTTTTCGTAAAAGAAAATATCAACTTTTAAGTATATTTTTTGAATTTATTCTCATCGCGATTTTTTTAGGTCCTTATTGGGGTCCCTTGAAGAAATACCTAAAGGTATTTGATAAATATCTTTAGTCACATTTTTTATATTTGTTGTTAAGGGGACATTCCAGTTCAAAATGTCAAAAAAATCGATTTTTTATTTTTTTTATTTTCGGATTTCTTATAGTGTCAAGAATACTCTCCTAAAATTTTATTCCAAAATTCGAAGAAAAACAAAAGTTATACATACTAACTTATTCTTCGCCATGTCAAACATGTTTTTATATGCGGATAAGCAGAACCCAATCAAATGATTTAAATGTTTTCTTATTTGCATTTTGTAAAAAAGACAAACAAATATGTATTTGGTGTTGCTGATCACAAATTAGATATCAAATTTTTAAAATTCAAAATGGCGGATCCAATATGGCGGAAGAGAAAATTAAAAATCAAGTGGATTTGCTTGAAAATCGTTGCTCGGGAGTTTTTAGGGTCGCTGATTACGAATATGATATCAGATTTTTAAAATTCAAAATGGCGGATCTAATATGGCGGATAATTTTTCAAAATTAATCAATTTTGAATTTAAAAAATATAATATTATATTTGTAATCTGCGCCCCAAAAACCCCCAAGTAACGATTTTTAAGCAAATCCGATGATTTTACCCTCCGTCACACACCTAGAGAGGGATTCCTTCTACGGTTTCAGTATTTTTTAAATAACTTTTGTTTTCCTCATTGCAAAATAAAATCAATTTTTATGCCTTTCGACAAATTCCTCCTCAACACATTTTTAAAAAAAACATTTAGTTTAAACATAATTAATCTTTAATTATGAGGCTTCAAAGCCAGAAAAAACTCGAAAAAGTGAGGTTATGTTAAGTAAAAAAATCAAGTTTTCAAAACATTTTTTGTTCCACTGTTGGTTAATGACAAAATTATATTATAAATATAATTAAAATAAGTTATTTAAAGATTTTTTTGCTTATTTGTTAATGCTACATTATTTTTACATGTCAAGTGGAATTCCTTCGAAGATGTGCATTCGTGTAATTAATTTTTATTTTCGAGACTGAAAAATTAATTTTATTAATTTTATAATTTAGAATAATTTACTACATATTTGTAAGTTTGTGTTAAAATTAAATTTTTGTTGATTTCTTCGTTTATTTTGTAATGTCGCTTATTTAACAATGTGGTGAGGGATTTGCTCTAAACGTGTGTAATGGTGTAATTATTTTTAAGGTGTGTGACGGAGGGTTAAAAAAAATTTTCCACCATATTAGATTCGCCATTTTGAATTTCAAAAATCTAATATCATATTCGTAATCAGTGACTTCAAAAACCCCCCAATAACTCCCGAGTAACGATTTTCAAGCAAAACCGAAGATTTTTTTAAAAAATTGTCCAAACTTATCAATCAAAACTTTAAGTGCGTTTATCTCAAAATGTCTTTTTTGATCTGGTAAGAGTGATATCTCGAGTTCTTATGAAGCGATTTTGAAAAATCAAAGGGTATTTGATTCATTGGCATCTTGTCTATAAGTGGAACCTCAAAAACTGGAAAATTTCCAACTCCCTTTTTATTTATAAGAGAAATTCTAAATAAAAACATGTGTTTTTTTCATATTATGGGGAAAAATACTCTAAAAAAGGAGGGGAAGAAAATTCCACTTTTTTGAGGTTCCACACCTAAATAAATATCTAACGAAGAGAATGTCACTTCGTTTTTGGTTTTATCTGTTTTAGAAAGTTTGGAATCGATCTTACCATAATAAATGGACATTTTTGAAAATGACATATATCGCCGCCATTTTGAAGTAAAAATGAAAAAAATTTTTTTTTACATATCTTAAATAAATTATTTGTCACATGTAAAAGAAATTTTATAAATAAATGTCATAGTTATTTTAATAATATAAATATATATACTAAAAAAGCCTTGTTTTTTCCTGTTTTGAACTGGTATGCCCCCTTAAGTAATTAATAACTGAATAATACTAATTAATAAATTAGTAAAACGATAGAGCTTATTAATTGGTAATTAGTGATAATAATGATAATTTGTTGTCTCGTAGAACACGAAAAAATTACTGGCTGCTGGAGTAACTGGACCGGAAGGTCACGAGATGTCCCGTCCCGAAGAAGTCGAGGCGGAAGCGGTAAACAGAGCCTGCGTCATAGCTAACCAGGTAAACCGTTGCAAAATCGTTTTTTATTCTTTATATTTTTATCACGTCTCATTCTCTTTCTTTCTATAATTGTATACATACAAAACTGTTTTAAAAATAGTTTCTTTTTCTCTCTCCTATAGTAATGCGATGTTGTATTTTTCTTTTTATTTCCAATTGATGTTGTAATTGTTATTATTTAGATTATTTATTTTTTAATAATAATTATAAAAATAATTATCGACATTATTATTATTAAATTTATTATTGTTGTTGTAATGACTCTTGTTATCAGTTTTATAAAGCAATTAGTAGACATTTATTTGTGCTGTGATATTATAGAAAATTATATAGAAAAATTTTGATAAGATAGTTTGTGTAGCCAATTTCACAATCGATAATTTTACAGTTTTTTAGTATATTTCAATTATTTTATTGTTTTTTTTAACAAATTATCAAGTTTAAATTTTTTCGTTCGAATATTATCAAATATTAATAAATCGTCACCCAGAGAAATTTTTATTTTATTTTATTTAATAATTTATTTGAGTTAAATAAAAGTATGTTTGTCTCAGAGCCTATTAAATTATTTATTATTTTAAAGAAAAATTGCTTTCGATATAAATAAAAATTTTATTTAAACCAAATAAAATTTATTTGAAAGAAATAAAAAGTGTTGGCTCTGACTTTTTTCTAGTTTTGCTCTTTTTTCTGGGTGAATTTGAATGAATGGAATGGAAAAAATATATTTTTTCTGTTTAATTTATTTTTTTTTATTTTTTTTATTTTTATTTCTATTTGAATTATTTGCTTTTCTTATTTTTTTCGACAGTTTTGTTTGTATTTTTCTACGCTAATTTCTATTCAAATTTCACGTGCAATTCTAAAATAACTTTTTCTTTAGGTATTTATTATTTGCTTTTAAGAAAAGCTTTGAATATGTGTATTTATTATTATTGAATCATAATATATGTATACAAATGTTATTATCGAATGTCGTTATCTCACCAAACATTCCAGAGCCGAAACATATTAGCACTGTTTGATTAGAAAACGTGAAACTAGTTCATGACATTTCTACAACTGATTATTTTCAATTTTTCCTCTTCATTAATATTGATAATTAAAATTTAAAAAAAGACAAGATAAATACTTAATAAAAAAAGCCAATAAATATTTGGAAATAGTTATTAGAAATTATTGAATATATTGAACTCCGTGAAGGAAACACGAAAAAAGAAATTTTCATCTTTTTCATAGTTTTTTATAGGCATTTGTTTTGACTGCTTAAAATACTTTAAGAGAAGAATAAAATTAAAAAAACAACTCAAACATAAAATAATAAAAGGAAAATAATGGTTTTTGAATAAAGAAAACAAAAATAGCGAAGAAAAAAAACACACATACACTTAGTGAAATACGATACCGAGTAAACTATAATAATAAGATTGAAGAAAAAGAAATTCATTCATAGGATGCGTATCGTTTGTATGGTAATTTAAATTTAGAGAGTCAATTATAGACTTTGTAAAGATCTTTTGACCACTTGAGAAAGAGCTTCTGTTGTTACGTAGTCTCGTGAATATTACGTCACTCTAAAGTTCATACATGTGGTAAGACGATCGTGGACTCGAGAAATATTACGCTGTTTAGAGCCCTATTCTATTAGGAAAACTGTAGGTCATGTTTACGCACATATGACACAAGAGTTCTGCTTCTTTCAATAACACTTTTTATACCTTGAATGAGTGTATATTTTTACACGCAACACTCCCACGAAAATTATACATTTTTCTTTTCTTAACAAAATAAAGAATTCCAATATTTCCAACTCAAATTCAAATAAATTCAAATATTTTCCACTATGTTAAAATCATTTTATTCATTGAAATTATTTGATTCATTAAAATTAAACTAAAACAATTTTAATAAAATAATAATGAATTAATAATAAAATAATAAATAATTAATAATAATTAAAGTACGAAAAACAAAAGAAATTAAAATACAATAATACAAAGAAATTTTAATTTCATTTTTATTTTTAATACATAAATGAAATTCAATATTTTTTTTTTGTCAATTTTAATAAAAAGAATTCAAATTCACCAATTATTTTAAATAAAAGTAAAGAAAATAAAATTTTTTTTTGTAACAAAAATTATAATTGTGAATGAAAATTTCCTGGAAAAATAAATTTTGCTATATTTAAATAAACGTTGCCTTGACAATAAATACTTATCTATATAATTTTTAAACTATAAAGGGAAAACTACTCTTTTTGATTAAAAAAAGAAAAAATACTTGACAAAACTTTACCTACTTAAAAATTTCGCCTGTGACAAAAATAAGAATTTTCTACTTTAAACGGTTTGAAGAAAACGACTTTTTTTTGTAGAAGATGTGCCCTTCTTTACAAAATAATTTTTTCCACTTAAAAAATAATTTTTCATCCGGAAAATGTCTTTATTTATTTCAATGTCTTGATTTATGTAAAATAAAAAAATTAAGGAGGTTCTATTATTGCTTGACGTAACGAATCAAAACAGAAACCATTATTTTGAGATTTTTTTTTGGGTTGCGTTTTGTAACTATACCATGAGTGTGAGAGAGATACAGATATATGTTTGCTCTATTTGCACTCATTGCCTAGTTACAAAACGCAACGCAAAACGGTGCCATGGGACTGCACTCTTAGTCGTATTGCAAAAGGTTGGTACGACTTGTTTACATTTAGTTTTGCTTTTGAATAGCAAATTCTGTGCAATGTTGCCAGACGTTTAGACAGCTGTTTAATACACTGCACAAAACATGAAACATTTTTACAAATTAAATTATTGCAACTCTTACAGGTACCTAATGACACTTTTTTTAACAGATATTTAATCATTAGATATCTGTTTCGTATTAAAAAATGTTTCATGAATTTCTTAATGTTAAATATTTTGTGGTGAGTAAATATGTATGAAAAAGTACTCAATTCCCATAAGACTCAATGTTAAAAGTTAAAAAACAAAAACGCTTATAACTTTTTCCACAAGTACCCTCAGGTCTCAAAAATTTAACTACATATTTTTCAAACCTTTATCTAACAGTGGTCCAAGTTTCATTAAATTCTTAATGTTAATTCTATTTGCGATAGAACCTCCTTAATATTTAGAAATTTTGTATCAATTTTGTTTTAATTACATAGTTGAACTTTGTACTGGTTTAGATTTAGAAAACTTTTCTGTTACTTTTTGACAAAAAAAATTTTAATTATCTATTTCATTTTCTATAATTTTGCATTAATATATATGTAAATTTTTTCTTAATATAAAAAATGTACCTTTTTTCTTTCAAAAAAAAAGTTTTAAATTTCGTTACTGAGTTGTTTAAAAAGGTTTTATTAAAAACATTAAAAAATAATTGAATACTTTCGAGAAATTTAATAAAAATGTACTAAAAGAAATTGAACCTTTTCGAAGAATTTTATTAAAAAATTATTTTTTTTTCTTTAAAATTCTTTCGAGCAATTTGATTAAAATTTTATCGAAAGTAATGGTATACTTAAAAAGAATTTTATCAAAATTTTTTAAAATAATTGAATTCCTTCGAGAAAATGCATTTAAAATGCACTAAAAGAAATTGAATTGTTTCGAATTTTATTAAAATTTTGAGTAATAATTGAATTCTTTTGAGAAATTTGATTAAAATTATGTCAATAGAAAATTAAATTCTTTTGACCAATTTTATTAGAGTTTTTATAAATATTTGATTTTTTTTTACAAATTTCCTTAAACTTTTTGAAAATAATGTAGTTTTTTAATAATTTTAATTGAAGATTTAAAAAAAATTGATTTTCTCGAAGAATTTCTTGTAAGTTTTTAAAATAATCGTGTTTATTAATTGTAATTAAAAATTCGATTATTGAATTTAATTGAACTTTTATAGAAATAATTGAATTCCTTCGAGAAAATTTTATAATACCTAGGTGTATATACAGAAAATATTTGAATTCAGGAGAAGAAATTTATTATTCATGAAAACAATAATTAATTATTATTATTATTATTATTAACAAAAATAATTCTCTAAAGAATTCAGTTATTGAATTGTTTAGAGAAATATTGAATTCATAGAAAGAAATTTATTATTTATGAAAATAATTGAATTCTTATATAAATTGTTATCAAGATAATTGAATAATTGAGAATAATTGAATTCTTTAGAAAATTTGATTACAATTTTAAAAATAAAAGTTTAATTCTTTCGAAGAATTTTTTTAAATTGAAAATAATTGAATTCAACAAGTTAATTTTTTTTAAAAATGAAAAATTTTGTAATTTGCATAATGATAATAATAATAAACTGAATACCGCATTTTCGAGTTAATTTTTGCTGTACTTATGTTATATTTTTATAATAGAAAGAATAATAGATTAGATTCGATTTTTTTCTTAAAAGAACAATTTAATTTCTTATGAAAAACTGAATTTTTCTTGAAAGAGAAAAAAAATGTTAAATTAATTAATTATTTAAACAAGATTTACAGGGAAAAGAACGAATAAATAGTAAATAGTAAATATGATGAAAAAAATTATTATTTAATTTATTATAAATAAATAATGATGTAAATTTTCCTTTTTGTTTGCGGCTCTGGAATGTTGCGAGACATTTTGCACGTGCATAATATGTAATAAGATATGGCTAGAGAAGAAGAGCTTTATAATTTGCACGCTTAGGTCGAGTGTCCGCTGTACGTAGTGCATGTGATGAGTCGTAGCGCAGCGGAAGCGCTTGAGATTGCCCGGAAGCGCGGCGTTTGTGTTTGGGGCGAAACCCTGGCAGCAGCAGTAGGCACCGATGGTACCAACTACAAGCACAAGTGCTGGAGACATGCCGCTGGACACGTACTTAGCCCTCCTTTAAGGCCGGACGCCAATACACCACAAGCACTCATTACCAAACTAGCCACGTGAGTTCAAGACGCCCCCTCTCACTTTTTTCTTCTTCCCCAACATTACGCCTAACAACAGCAA